CAAAAGTAAAGCGTGTTTTACTGTATAAGCAGTAGAGATACTGTATTAAGTGGAATGTTAAGTGAGAGGTTGCCCGGGGCACAAATACATCCACAAATACATACACAAATACATACACAAACACCTTGATGTCCTCAGCGAGATAATGATTCTTAAGCGTAGATGATAGCCGCAGCATCATTTGTTGCTCAATTATGCGGGAGTCATTATTAAAAAAAAACATATAGTATACGTTGTTCTTAAAGTATTCAATAGCCTCAAGTAGAAAAAAAAAAGCTATTCATCAAACAGAAGCAACCGACAAAATACAAATATATACAGAAGCCATTAGTGAGGAAGGTTAGATAAATTACAAGTCTAAGTAGTCTACTATAATATTGGAAGGGCATTAAAAAGTCGCACTATATAGTCCAGAAAAAGGAATCAAATGGGAATATATTCTAGTCTTTAGTATTTTTTTTAACATCTTTATCCTGCAGTCGAATTCAATACCTTTCTCGTAAAGTAATAAATGCACAATATTATTTTTACCCCGTACATAATCATGTTAGGGCACTACATAAGAATGTTTAGTCTGTGTGTCTAATAAAATTTAACACAGCCACCAACAGCACAATCACTAGAAAGTTTTCATTTAATATAGGCCTACGTTAATTTTATTTCCGTTATAGGGGTGAGTGTTTTTTTAAGTGTCTGGAATAGGTTGTGTGTATTTTATGTAGAGAGTAGCAACCAAACTAGACCATTGATGAATACATTTAGGTTTAACAACTGTTTTCTTACTTTTATAATTGTATATTAAGTTATTTGTAATGTATTATTTATGGATACATTTATATACGTACATATATATATATATATATATATATATATATATATATATATATATATATATATATATATATATATATATATTTATAGGTCTATATATAATATCTAAGAATGAAGTCCTACCGAAAAGACACTCCTCGATGGTTAATCTTATGTTGGTTTTAAGAATATTTTTCAACCTGAGATTTTCAGCCTGATATATTTTGTCTGAGATATTTTGTTTGAGACAGTATGTCCTGTCACTCCACAAAGCTATGGCAGAAATAACACCACACTCGAAGTTTTATTTATCAAGCCTTTATTTCTGTATCGACACACCAAAACGTCTTGAAGATGTCACATTTTATAACAAACAATTTAACTAACAACATCAAAAATATTCTCGAGACAAGCAAGGCAGTTGTGAAACAACCACGACACACAAATTTCGCGAGACATACAAGGCAGTTATGAAACAACCATGACGCAAAAGATTCTCGAGATAAGCATGGGTATTTGTGAAACAACCAACCATCACATACACGATTCTCGAAATAAGCAAGGCGATTATGAAATAGCCATAAATTACCAGATTCTCGAGACAAGCAAGGTAATTATGAAATAGCTACGACATACCAGATTCTCGAGACAAGCATACGAACCACACCAGCAGGCACACAGTACATGGAACTACTATATACATCGCTACATCACTCTATGTACATGTTTGTTTTATCACATCTGTGGACCGAGTTCGACTCCAACCTGGAGTCGGGATGAAACTGTACAACTTTTTTACATTAAGCTCAAAAATAATACAAAAAACTGTTGTGAAAGAAAATCGGCATTATTAATACTAATAAAACAACAACAATAATAAACATATTTCAAATGAAAACAATATTAAATAATTACTTAACATGATATAATATGGTAAATGAAAACATATGCTAATTAACGCAGACATTGGGAGATTTAAAATATAAGCTAATTAACAGACAATTTTGGAGTAATTTGTTGCGTTTACGAAGTAGATTTTATCAGTTTATTTTAATGCTAGATTAAAACTAAATATCAATTACACGATTTTAATTTAATGGGCCCAAAATACTTTAAAAGCAAACTGGTTCTATGTATGTTCAAATATACATTTTTTACCTCATGGTAAAGATGTGATGTAAGTCCTATCGACTTATTAAAAAAAACACAGCAAACAATGATGATTATAATTGCGATAAAACATTTCATGATTAACAACATATCATCGCAATATCAGTACTGGATATTGTAATATAAAGATAACAATAATAAAAACTACATGTTAGTTACAGTTATGAATTATATATTGTCGATTGTAAATAATAATTACAATTGTAATTCTTATAATACTTATGGTATTAAACAAAATGTTAATAAATAAAAATAATGGAATACTAAGTGAAGAGCACAAACGAAGAAAAGGGCTTAAGTACACTTTTCTTAAAAAAAATAAGTGAAGCCCCTTTTTAAATTCAGCCTCACTAGTTCCAGCTATACACTGATTGTTATCACACACAAAAATGTCTGTGATTTAAAATGGACATTCAATGAACATTTTTTTAAACGCATTTTTTTTTGGAAAATTATTTTGAATGCACTTTAAGCGCATTTGAATTTGGGCTTTTCGTAACGTTTTTAATATAACCTGTTTCAAAAGAGTCAAAAGAATGTTCTAGTTTTCAAAGTTATATTAAGCTTGACACCACACGCCCTACTACTGAAGTCTAATTACCAAAACATTAACTGCTGAGGTTTGTTATGAGGATAATCATATTCAGTTTGTCTCGTTATAACATCTTGTTTGATGGACCATATGTACCAAATATATTGAATAATAATATAATTATGATTTAAATGGATGAAGCGGTTTTCTTTTAAATCAAGTTGTTTTGATTTTAAGTTGACTCCATAAAGTTCACATTTCTATTTGAAGAGGTCACGTCATTGTTAATATTTAGTTGAGTGAGTCACGTGATTTTCAGCTTATAATTCACATTTCTGATCACGCCCAGACCAGTTAATGATTTAATTTTTTTTTTAAAAATCACGCATCGTCTGCTTACAACTCACGTTACTTGAGTCACGTCAAAGGGCTTTCAATAAAAAAGAACCCGTTTTAATCGGTTAATCAATAAAAATCGCTTTTACTCCAACTTTTCTTTAGCATAAAGTGCTATTAATTTAAAATATCGTGCAATCCAGCTACAGCTAAATTCTTTATTACACACGACGTGGAGTCAGTTGCAAGACGTGTGGCTTTTCCCTGCTTTAAGCTCAAGTTTTAAGTAATAGTTGTCAAATAAATCAAATTTGAATCAAAACTACGCTATGATTGAATTGAAACGATTGTAAAACTCTTATCACTACACTAACTGTATGCGAAAAGAACTGGATTAAAACGTTTAAATCTTTGTATTATGATTAAGTTCTAGGTAATGGTTAAGGCAAACAATTAAAATATTTAACATCAAAACTACCCTTTTATTCCATCCAAATGATTTTAGAAATTTTAGCACTGTAACCCGAGAAGTGTTAGAAATGTTTTGAAAAGTTCAATGCAAAGCTAGCCATCCTTTTTTTGGGACACATTTTTATGTATTTGTTCTTTAATTGTATCTATTGTTTACAAGAGTAGAAACAAACGTCGGTTTTAAACAAAAATATTAAAGTACATTTTAAAGCTTGTTTTCGATTTTTGAAAATTTTGAAAAGGAATTTTAGATTTAATTGAAAAAAAAGGTAAAATATTTTAAAATGGAACCTTTTTTTTTTTACACTAAAAGCAAATTCATGTTTCACTAATTATCATTTTTTTTTAGCAAATTCAAAGGTCAAGCGCGAGGATTGGAGCTTTATCTGTGAAACGGTGTAATGGGATTTGAACGGGGGGTTATATCTTGTCTGATGTCTTTTAGAGGGAGGTAGTCTATGTGGGGATGGGAATGTCTGGATGGTTTTCTGGAGAGTTTTAAAGTGGTTAGGTGGTTGAATGTGGATAGGGAACTTGTATTAGATGTTTGATTTTTTAATAAAAAGTTGACTAGTGAGGCCACAGTACGTTTTCTGTGTAGGTTCTACTGCAGGTTCATCCTGGAGATTGTCTGGAAGATTGTCTGAAGGATTGTCTGGAAGTATATTTGAGGATTGTCTGGAGGATTGTCTGGAGAGATGTCTAGAGGATTGTCTTCAAGATTGTCTGGAGGATTGTGTTGAGATATATATATATATAAATAAATTAATTAAAAAAAATATATATGTATATATATATATATATATATATATATATATATATATATATATATATATATATATATATATATATATATCTAGGTTAAATTTAAAAATAATTCTCTGATGTATTCCGATACATAGAGGTACCGTTTTTTTTATTTTAGAAAATAAAACATTAAAAAACAAATAAAAAGTCATCTCAATATGGAAGTTATCATTTTAAAACAAGAACAAGTCCCAGTCGTAAGAACATTACATCTGTTGGCGGTATATTTCCATACTTAACACGACTTTTTTAAAACATCCCGATGACGGCCTTGTAGTTAGTTTACTGCAAGTAACAGCCGGCAGTACCTAACGCTATCCCATCACAGCTTCATGACATCACATCAAAAGAGAAAAGGTTTCTTTAAAACACAAACTCTGTACAACTATACAATAAAAAGCAAATAAAATTCACTTAGATTATGTTCCTTGAGGTACCTAAGTACACACACATACACACATAAACATTATATATATATATATACATACATATATATATATATATATATATATATATATATATATATATATATATTTACATATGTAGGCCTATATTACATATGTATATATATATTCAGTAAAATACAGCATATACACAATTTTATAAGTAGCATATGAATGATAGTAATATGTGTTAACAGACATAAACATCTAGACATCTTTATCCATTGTCTGATCTCAGTACACAGCTCACAAGGTAGTGAATGCTTTACAAAGTTCTAGACAGTCTTCAGAAAGGACACAGAGAATCCAATCCTTCTCCTTTCTGACTTTTCAAATGTGGGAACACAGCTAAATAACAGGTTCAATGTTCAACTATGACACTCAGAAAGGAATTAAAGAAACGAATCCTTCTCCTTTCGTAGGCGCCATAGTCATACCCTGCCGTTCTCATCGTGTGTGGTAGTAGTGACCGTACGGGGAACATGTTCCCTCAGGATGAGCAGTTCCGAGGTCGATGTGATCATGGTCCGGCGCCTCTCGCAGATCGGCTTGATGTAGATGCTGAAGAACTTGTCCCGGAACTGTTGGGACATGACGCAGTACAGGACAAAGTTGATGGCGTTGTTCAACAGGGCGATGAAGTCGGTGAGTTCCGAGAGTGGGTAGTAGACGTTGCGGTGGAAGTCTGGCACCGACACGCTGAGGATGAAGAGAATGCCTTGAGGAAGTTCCGTGAAGATGAACAGCATGAGGACGACCAGAAGCATCCTGGTCGTGTTGACTCGCTGGCGGGTGGCTGAGAGTCTTTGGCGTCGGCGCACGGCCTTGACCCCCATGTGGTAGAGGAGGGAGCCGCTGAAGATGAGGATGAGGATGCAAGGCAAGATTTTGGCCAGGATGGCGTAGGTGATGTAACTGGTGAAGACGACGAGACTCGTGTCTGACGTCCCCAGCTGTTTCATGTTCAGCGTGTAGAAGGTCACGTTCGTGTAGCTTATCCTCTCTTTTTTAATCTCGTTTGTTACGTAATACGGGATTAGGATTATCAAAGACAACACGTAGATTATCGCCGCGGCGATTTTCACGTGCCGGATCCGGCGTTCTTTAGCCAGAGGCCCCCGCGGGCAAGAAGATCGGATTTGGCAGAAACGAAAAGCAGCCAGGGTTACCGCCAGCCAGATTGAAATTGTATGCGTCGTAGCGAAAAGGTAGACGATTATCAGCATGTAAAGAATCCAGTTGTAAGTATACTTGGCCGGGGTATCCGTTGGGTCAGTCAGCGGACAGTAGAAGTGGAATATGTAAGGAATGTACGGCAGCATGGTCAGTATGTCCGAGATGGCTAAAAACGTCAGCAGGTAGTTCGTGGCAGTGCGCATGTCCTTGGCCATCAGCACCGTAATGTTGATGACGTTGGTGAGGATGCCAAAGATGCAAACCACGATAGAAGCGTAGCCGTACACCTGGAGGAAGAGCTCGTGGAAGTCCCACAGGGGTCCGAGGTGGTGCCTCATCATGTCGTCCGTGTAAGGGGGTCCCCCTCCCGGCAGCCCAAGTCTGTCGTCATCAGGGTATTTCCCCGATTCCCTTGTTCGGTTCAGGAAGTCCCAAAGGTCATTGACCTCCATTTTTAATCTGTTTATCTTTAGTATTGACTAGCAGTGCTTGACCATTGGATGCTGTAGCTAAGCCATCAACTGTAGAATAGAATAAAAGACAAGATGTTATGTTTAAGTTTACTTTACTGATTAAAACAAACTACTAAAATACATCACTTATTTTTAACAGATTTGCTTTACCCTATTAGCTTCCCTCAGTAAGATGAAATACATTTAAAATATCCCTAATTAATACGTTTAGATCCACAAGCCTTTTATCTTCATTTAGTTAGCAGCATTTCGGTTATTTATATTATCTGGGCCTGTCTTGACCGACCATTGAAAAACATGAACAGCGAGTCTCAATAAAATGCAGCGTCTTGACCACTCCATACCACGACAGTATGTGCATTGATTAAATCTAGGGCATCGATCATTTGTACCCCTCCCCCACTCCCTACAGCATACGCCTTTTCGTAACCCTCACTCGACGGAGAGAGACAGGTCTAACAAAAGTCTCATTTCAATCCAGGTCTAGAGTCCACATTATATCCGCGAGCCAACACAGCTCTGATTAGTACCTGACCCACGTTAAGGAAAGCAAAGGCAAGAATCCACATTACATCCCTGAGCCAACCCAGCTCTAATTGGTACGTTAGGGAAAGTAAAGGCGAGGTACTTGAAACGCATGAACTCTACTTCACTTATACCTATTAGGTCTGATAGAGTACATTTCATTTTTAACATATACCCCCTCCTGACCCCGCCCCTTCGTGAGTACAACAAGGCTTCTATATGTCACGGCTGGTAATGAGTGTACAACAACATCATCTCATCCATAGTGAGAGTGTAATTGTGTGTGTACCTGGGTAACGCATCGCTCAAACCGCATAACATTCTAACTTTACATAAATTGCTAATAGGTCATCGTTTGGTTCCACCACCCCACCGCCAGACGGACCCCTGAGCTCCCACGTGTCTATTGTTATATATCCATTCACTCTGAATACTTAACCAAATGGTCCTCATTTCCTGAGCTAATTCGTATATCTTCTTTTGTCTGTTTCCCACAATTTGTATGTTTTATTGACCCAGACGTGTAACCAGTGGGGGGGGGGTGGAGGAATGGTGCAACGTTTTCATTAATATATATATATATATATATATATATATATATATATATATATATATATATATATATATATATATATATATATATATATATATATATATATATATATATATATATATATATGGAATTAAAACCAGATAAAAATTAACGTGCCTCTATTCTTCATGAGGACAAAAGCCTTAAATCATGGATACTGAGACAAATCCCAAGTACAACTGAAAAAAAAGCATGCCTTCTTAATTCTTCCCACAATCTCCTAATCCAAAAACCTGGCCAGGGCGTGGTTCCTATTCCCTTACTCAGAAGTATTGTCTCTTCTACACCCCCTACCCCCACGCCTTCTCGTTCTCTCACACTCTCAATGGGAAGTATGGCCTCTTCTAAGCCCCTTCCCCCCTCTTGGTCACTCCCACCCTCACTCGCAAATATGGTCTCTCTCCCCCCCTCCCCTTTACTCTCCTTTCCCTCTCAATGACCTAGCTCCTATTCTAGCACTTAGTCTGATGAAGGAAGTTAAATAAAGAAAAACAAATTTACGACACCAAAAATGCTTCACATAAATCAAGTCCCATGAGAGTTGTGGTGCGATGCTAGGGGGAGTTACCAGCACATCTAAAAAAACTTACAACACCAACGCTGACTTAATTGTATTTTATGAATCCTATTTCTCGGACACAGCCATTGTTGGTTTTTTTTTTATTTCACATTTGCTAGCAGTACTATAGAAAAATCAAATTGAATGAAAGATGAAAACCAGTTACTGTAAAAACAATACAGTATATTATGTTTTTTTTTCTTTTCCACTTTGAATGATAATTGCTTCGACCTAGGTTATGTGCAGTTATTGCAGAAATTGTTTACGATAAAAATGCCCCCGAGGCGTATAAAGCCACCTCTGCGCTACATGCTTCTATTCCTTACGACGATACATACGTCTGCACTGTCTCAGCAGATTTCTAATGTCTAAAGGTCACATTGTGTATTTTGCTTAAGAGCGTGGTCTGGATACCTGATAGCCTTAAGGTCGATGTTAGAGTAATTAAGCTCCGGTTTTATAAAGCTAAATTTAATTATCGTGTTAAGCTGTGTTCTTTAGTACAGAAAAATGTTATTAATTAATTAATTAATTAAAAAACATGCTGTTTCATAATAACAAATATTTTTCTAGACATAAGTAAAAAAAATTTTTAAAAATATATTTTAAAAATCCGATTCAAATGCTCTAGTTTAAAAAAAAAAACAAAAAAAAAACAGCAAACAAAATAAATCAAGTAAAATATTTAAAAAAATAAACAAATAGGTAGATCAAACAACTTTAATAAATAACGTTACAAATTATAGAAATTGTTTTTAACAATTCCCGTTATTTGTCCATAAATTAGTTTTAATAATGTCAACTGTAATTGAATAGTTCCAACATTAAATTAAAACTTAAAGTATTCAATCTTTATAATAAACACATAATAAGATTAAAAAATGAAAGCGTTGATGTGTTGTATCGAATTTTCCTTCACTTTACCCTGCCTAGTATAATCCCTGAACAGATCATTATTAACAGTTAAATGCATGAAACCGTTTAAACTAATAGATGGAGAGTAATGTATTTTAGCTTAGCTAAAAAAATCAAGCCTTAACCTTTTTTTTCTTTCTAAAGCTTAACCTGATAAAATGTTTTAGGAGGAGACCCTGACCTTTTAGGGTGAATGCACTTTCAACGATATAGTGAAATCTTAATTTAGAAGATGAAAACAGAATTATTTTTTTTTTAAAGAAAAAGTGATAAAGCTGATCGAAGTTCAAATAATCGATGAAGGAAAATGTCAGAGTGATTGGTGACTTCATTACTCGGCGGAAATGACGTCACGTTCGTGGAGTAAAACTCAAGGTGAGGAAAGTTTCAAAGGGAGTGACTAAAAAAAAATGAAAAAAAAATTGGATTCTAAAATTGATGGGGAGGGAAAAATGGGGGGGGGGGGGGGGGGACAGTAAACGAAGGAGATTATATTTGGAAGAAAATCACTCGGGAAGAAAAAAAAATTGAAATAAAATAATTGTCTGGAGGTCAGTGCTGAAATAAAGAATCCTCAGGGAGTTTTTACGGCGGAATTGTATTGAAGCTGAGACAGTTCGTGATTGTTTTGAAGTTTCTTGGGGATTTTGTTATGACATATAGCTGGTTCTACTTCCGTCTGATGTGTACTTTGGGTGTATTTAATACATGTGAAGGCTAGATGTGAATAAGTGCAAAATGCTAGTATAAAGATACACCAATATAAGGCCATGGTTGTGGTGCGGTGGCATTGAAATATTTTACGTTATACACAAACATACAAGGCAAGAATTTTTCGAGTTTGGGCCATACAGTCAACATAAGAACAACTTGGATAAAACAACGCAGATTTCAGAATTCACTTGGTGCTCTTTGCTATGCTGACATATCTCAGTGAACATCGTTTTGAATTTATGTTAAAAGATTTTCAAAATCACTTCTTATACATTTTAAGTGTATTTTTTCAATATATAGGCCTATATTATCATAAATTAATATAAAACTATATTTTCTTTCTAGTGTTACAAATGATTGCACATGATTTCAGTTTCTTCGACCTCGAAGTTATATTTAAAAGACACTAAACTGGTATGGAAGTTGAAATTGACTTTTTCCGGATCTTCATCTAAGCAGCTAATGATTCTCTGAAAA